GGAAAAATTATTCATCACATCCACAGAAATATTTATTATTTTAAAATAACATAAGTTAGTCACCTCAGCCGTGTGTGACTCCCAGAATGCTAATTGGAAATGTATAGAACAGGAGATCAATGACAGACTGGCAACACTTCAGCAAAAGCCACTTGCCCTATGACCAGGAAATGTCTGGGCTTAGCAATAGATTATTCTAATGTGCCTAGCCAATAAAATTCATTCTATTAGGATTTTTCATTAGATTTATTTGAGTTTAAAATTCTAAGGTTTCCCTTTGTACTTGAAACCCATTTCATAGAAGCAAAAACGCTTACCCCTTTGGGAAGAATGCTTAGACCTATTAGTGAAATTGGAAAGGTCATGAACTTTACAGCTAGACATCTGTCTCTGCCTGGACCCTTGCTGGTGCTCATGACCCTGAGTAAGTTACCTTAATTCCAAGGAAAATCCGTGCCCTATATAGAAATTGAAGTGACCGTGATGACAATCATCATCGTAGCTAACATCTGCTAAGCACTTGTTATGTCTAAGAACTGTGTGACTCCTTCTAGTAATCCAGTGAGAGGTAAATACAGTTCTTATCCCATACATATGTGCTCTATCCACCATCCATCTTCCCCTTCCACTTTCCCTTCCTGCCTGTTTCCCCGGTTCTGCTGCGAGCATGCACGCATGCGCACACACAGAGACACAGACACAGACGCGTGCGCTTGCACACACGCGCGCGCACACACACACACACACACACACACACTTTCAACTTGTCCATTAGTAGTGATCTTCAGCCTTTTCAGATGTGCATGACTCTATTTCAAAGCTTTTGGCTAGATTCTGACTCTTCTCGTAGCAAAATAATCAAGTTCTTTGTGAAAGCTTGCAGCCTCACAGATTATTAGGAGCTGTTTCTGCTTCGTGTACTACATGTTTCTTTTCTGCTGCTGATTCTAAATGCTTTTCTCTCTCCGTTTCTAATAGTTCTCATTTATACTGACTTCTTTGAGGGGTAGCTAACTTTAAATTCATGCCTTATTTTTATCTTTGAAGAGATACAGGAGGGGGGAGAGAGAGGGGAGAGAGAGAGAGAGAGAGAGAGAGAGAGTAGTATGTGCACATGCATGCAGGGAGAATACAGACTCTTAATACAGCCTCTTAATTGCTTTTATTATGAGTTCAGTAGTATTTGGTGCACCGACCAGGAAAGAATAGTGAAAATAGACACATCTTCATATCTGCGGCTATTTTTACTTGAATCCAGATTCTATGTTTTTTTCTAATATGTAGTTAACAATCTGAATGACACATTCTTTATGGTAGCACAATAATCCCGTCCATTACATCACTTAATTTATGAGAGTGTTAACACCAAAATCGATAAACATTATTTCTGAAATGTCAAGAGTGTTAATGGTGTGATTAAAAAAGAAAAAGATTCTAAAATCTCTCCACACATATCCCTTTGATATACTGTTGTTGAGGTGCACCTATCCAAAGCTGTGATATCGAAGCCTTAAATCATTAAGACTCCTTCAACTTTAAAAATGTGTGTCGGAAGCTATTTTTAGCCACACGAATCTTTTGTGCCATATTGTGGAATTCTGTTAGCAGAGAGAGGGAGAGACTCTACGTCTCAGAGAAGATTGTCTCAGGTTGTTTTGAGACATATCAACAGTTGCTAAGAAACCATCGCTAATGCTTCTGGGAAATTCTGTAATAATTCACTCAGAAATTGGGAGAAATTTTTATAGAGCAAAGCTTCTTAGACAAGGAAAGCATATGAAGGATGATATTAGGGAACAGTTTTAAACTGGAAAAAGTATTTTAAAGTTTCCTAGAAGATTGAGTTTAAATGGGGTTTCTTAGCTCCATATAATCGCCTCTTACAGAATCCTGGAAGCTTTCATTTACATCTGATTTTAGAACAAGAAGCATTTTAAAATCTGGTCACATTTCAGTTTATTTTCCATGATTGATGCTTTAAAATGGAGATTAGCACTTCTTTTCACACAGAGAATTAATTAGCATGCTGGGATGGTGCTTTCACTGATTCCCATCTCTTTGAGAGAAAAGGCTATATTAATAGTAAACATTTAATAGGCACTGACTGTTTACTAGGTTCTCCAGAGACAGAACCTTGGCATGTAATGGACTTATAACTCAAATAGTCCACTATGATCAGCCAGGGCATTAGAGTGAAAGACATTCACCAGACTCTCTTGTGGAGGTTCTTCACTGGGGAAGTCAAGTTAGCAGCCCAACATTGATTTGATCACCAGCCCTGTGAGGACTCTTGATTAATTCCTTGCAACACTTCCATCTTCTGTTAGGTATAGTCCACCTAGTCAGAGAGAAGGCTTGACCCCCACGGGAGTATCACTTTTAGATAAGCTGATTTCGGCCAGACTCTTGGATCTATATGCTTTATGACTTCTGGTCTTATGATGAGAACCTGGGGAAACTATAGCAGTAGTTCATATTTTATTTTTTTCCTCTCATTCACAAACATAATATATAGGCATTAATTATGAGCATGAAGTTAGGATTAGAACATAGTTAAAATACAGTCCTTGTCTTCGGATTCTGGTAAGGAAATAGTTTTGTGAACCCAGCAATTGCAAAATAGTAAGACGTACCATGACACTATCTTTAAGTTGGCAGGGAAGGAATAGAGCACTTTTCCTGCCAGAAAGATTGAGCAAAGGTCTCATAGATGGAAAAATCCTCCAGCTAAAGAGGAATACATTGGTCATACTCATGGAGAAGGGGGTTAGAGTGAATGAGCACTGTGGGCAGAATCCAAAAGGCAGGTCCAGAGAACAGGCCCCAGGCAGCCATAGTGCTGGTGTCTGGTAGCTTAAGAGGGCAAAGCGATAGAACATAACAGGGGTACAGAGCCCCTAGCATAGAATTCTTGTTCTTCCAACATATGCAGTGGTTTCTTGAACTTCTTTTGAAATACTGCAATTTCCTCCTTCCTCCCAACCCCCAGTTAAAAATCCACTACACTGAGCCAATAATAGTGGGGAGAACGAAGACGGAATATTATTAGGAGAAAAAATAGATGTCTTGGTGAAGTTGCTGGAGTTGAGGAAACACACAGTCCCAGCTTCTCCCCAACACATTCCTCTCATATTCTCCTCTCATATTCTCATATTCTCACAGAGGGGTCTCTCTCTGTGTCCCCCTCTCCACATCATGCTCTTTCACATAGACCTTGGCTTCTGTTTGCACTGTACAGGAACACTTTCCCACCTGGTGAAGCAATCCTTTCTGAACAAGTGTGCCTAGCCCCCATGGCACCTCTGCATTTCTCTAATTAGGATACAGCTGGATACTGTCCAAGGATTTCTCTCTCCTATTTAAGTGGAGCCTCTTTCTCAGCAGAGGCCATATTCTGTCCTGTGTAACATGCAAAAGCAGCAGGTGACCATTATAAGTAAGATCTAATATTCATTGACATGAACTGATCTGATTCAGTCCTTGGATGCAGGGTGGGGCGTGACACATGTATCTTTTCTGCCTGCCACTTGCAAAGCAGGTGCCAAGCACAACAATAATTTGCAAAATGCTCAGATGTCAGATGATCCCAAGAACAAGGCCATTCAGACACTTGCCTTGGTGTCTGTTCCTGCTGGGATTTTTCCAACAGCAGAGAAGCTAACAGTCAAGGCAGCATCCGGTTACTTCATAGGATTCAGAATCTACAATGTAGAAATGGCTCAAAAAGACCTGATGCTGGCAATAAGATGATACAAAGGCAGGCAAAACATAGATACAAAGAAATAAACATGATTACAGCAGCAAACAACCACTAATTGCCCAATGAATGACTTGGACTTTTTAATGGCTAGAGCAGAGGTTTTCAAACTACAAAGAGGAGCTTACTGCCTCCTTTTCAGAAAAAAAAAAATCTCTTTGTGCTCCCCTGTAAATCTACTTTCTTTAAGAAAACAAACAGAGCATCCTCCACCCCCTTTTCACCGGAAGTCATCAGTACCCCCAGAGATGGTTCCAGAGCTGCCCAGGGGACTGAAGTGCCCATTTGGGAAAGGCTATGCCATAGGAATATAGAGGAGCCACAGGGAACTGGTAGGCTGAGGTAGAGTCGGCAAACTCAGTGTTAATTTTGAATCTGAAGCCCCGACTTTGCATTCCCATCAGAATAGTCACCAAAGAAATGTTCCATTTTAGTGAATATGTTAGCCGAGAAGCTTGTATCTGAGCTACATTAAAGGTCATGCTTGAAGTAGGCCAAATGTGATATTGATTAGTGCGTTTTTTCTCTGTGTTAGAGAAACAGAAACTGTTGGAGAAAATGTCCATGATGATTTGACTAGTACCCTTTTCCCAGTGTTATAGAAAGATCAGCAGCATTCTGGATGATTTTGTGCTTGCTTTAGCTGGATCGCCACCTAGCCAGACAAATTGTTAGTTACTACTAACTCCTTAGGACACATGATTGTGTTGAGTATGTTTTTTGGTATGTAGGTTAAGATTCCTTGCATAAACAGAGGAAAATTCAGAATTATTACTATTGTCCCCAGTAGTAATAAAGAATTATTAATTCTGTGTTTTGTAATTTCTGTATGGAGATACAGAATTATTAATACCTTTAAGCTATCTGACACAGTTTTTCCTCTGATACGCACAGTGGGGTATTATTAATGATTTCTTTACACTCTCCCAACTTTAAACGAGAGCTATTTCCATAGATAAGAAAGGATGTAACATAATGTTTAAGAACTTTGATGTAGTATCCAGCTACTGAGTTTCAAATATTGACTTTTCTAAACTAGTTGTGTAACTCAGAAGACACTACTGATTTCTCTGCCTTAGTCTTCTCATCTGTAAGATGGTAACAATTATAGCTATCCTTGATGGAGTTATTACATGGATTATATAGAATAATTAATATAAAATGTTAAGAGTTAGTCCTGACATATTGTATGCAAATACACGATAAATAACAACTATTACTGCTAATAATTATCTTTTCTCAGGTTGGTGATAAGGAGAATATTCAGCCACCAAATTCAAAGGTAATACACTAAAAGAGGTAAAGGTAAAGACCCTCCCGTTGATCATCGATTTGCTCGAGCGGGCCCAGTAACGTCTCCATTGGAGACTTTGTTGTTACTGTGTTTGGCATATCGAATACGTCACGGGTGGCTTGCCAGGCTCTGCCGCGCGGGCGAGATACTCTCGGTAGCTTGCCGGGCTCTCCGAGAGGGGCGGAGGAATCGAACTCGGGTCGGCCATGTTGGCTGCGTGCAAGGCAAACGCCCTACCGCTGTGCTATCGCTCCAGCCGCAGGTGACTAATATAAAACATAATTTAAATAGCATATTTATATAGAGATGAATTCACATACGTGTATATTTTTTGCCATCAAACAATCATCACTCAGTGGACCATCTGGTAGTGATTCTAACTCTGTGGAAGTCTGCCATGGGGGTAAATGGCAACCCACATGGAGATTGCCTCAGGCTCTGGCAGGTAGAAGCTATTCCTCAGAATTTCAAAGGCACACAAACTGGCTTGTTGTGGAGACATGAGTGGCACTATACATGCCAGGATAACAATCAGGACATATTGTTCTTCAGGTTGCAAAGAAAATAAGCATCATGCTTAAAAAATTTAGTCACACCATGCTTGATACAGTCCTAAGAATAACATCATGATTCGTATGCCATATACTTGGTTCTAACAAGCCATTTGCTTCTGTTAAGCTTGCTAGTAGGTTAGACAATCCTGCAAAGACAGGCCGTGTAGGGCAGTTTATAAGCAACATTTGTTTACTCTGTGCGGAAATGATGGTGAGAGTAATAGATGCAGACAGAGATAGCAAATGCATTTACAGTGACTAATAGCACCAAACAAACAAGGTTGCATTCCTATACCACTCGTCTGCTGTTTTTTTTTTTTAATTATTATTTGTTTGTTTGTTTTACCTTGCCCTTTGTTGTTAGATTCAGGTATTAACACGGGAGGTTAGATCAGATAAGAATGTATCTAATCCATCCTAAGTAGATGACAAAAGCAACTTCTTTGGAATATAAAGAACCTTATTACATACTGTCCACATGTCCATGACTGAAAACCAGTGGCTCACAGTCAGAATGATGAATAACAAAGGTTGGTCTCCTTTGCTTAGTTGTACATCACTTTGGTCATATTATCAATCGCTGAGCTGAGAAAAGTTCTCCCAAATTTCACTGGATCCCCCTTGAAAGAGATAAATTTTAGCATCTCAGTGGCATCATCTTTTGCGATCAATCAGCAATAACCAGCAAATGGAGATTTAGTGTTGGTGTGTGTGGAAGGCACAGGCAGACAGCATAGCTCTGGACATAGCAGCCCGAAGAGAGTCTCTTATCTTTAAGGGTGGGACAGTAATACACAGATTACATAGAAGAATTAGTCGATAACAATACATTCCATTATAAGATCCTAAGAAATATTATAGGCAGTATATGGGAAAGTCCCAGATCCCAGAGAGAAAGTGTAAGAAGAGTTTGTTTATTGTGAAATGAAATGGTTCTAGAAGGCTTTTTCAAGGAGAGACACACAGACACACAGACCGACAGATATGGGAAAAGCCTGAGACTGTCTTTGAATATTTGGTATGTGTGAGCCATCTGAGAGCATATTAGTGGTAGGCGGGCCAGTTGAGAGGTGAGGAAATATGTTGATCAAGAATAGAAAGCAAGACAGATTAACACAAGCCTAAAATACACTTTAAATATGAACCTCAGATGAACATTTGCTGTCTTCAGCTCTGCCTATAGAGCTTAGACTACTGGCGCAGTGAAGACTCTATTCACTCTTGTCCAGGCTTGTTTGGTTCAGGCCACTCAGATAGAGATGTCTGGAGAACATAAGTTTGAGACCAGCTTGCAGGGAATGAAAGATAAAGCCAGGTAACTTGAACTTTTTTTTACAGATTTATTTTTCCCCCACTATAGTCCATATCCCCAGGCTTTCAAGTGTATGTGCACTTGAAAATGATGGGCATAATCCTCTCCAAAAGGCTCATTCTCAGATCTCTAGCTCTTAGAGGATATGGAAAAGGATCAACAGTCACAAAAGGGTTTAATTTCACTTAATAAGCAAGAAGTAATATAGAATGGTTTTGAGCAAGAGAGTAGCAGAAACCTGGTACCTGGGATGATCAGGCATATGTACAGGTGAGGGAGAGTAGAGACTGGAGCCAAGGTAACCTGGCAGGATGCTGCAAGAGGCTGAAAAAACAGTATGACCACCCCAAGTAGCACTGATTGTTTTCAAGGAGAGAACAAGGGGTGGGGTTGGAAAGAAAGTTAGGCTCTGAGGAGACGAAACAAGATTTGTGGAGAAGAGAAGCAAAGGGGAGGCAAAGTTAGAATTGGTTTTCAAAGAAATCAGCCAACTTTTATTTAAGATTCTTGCTTCATTAAAATGTTGATATTCGGGTTTTGCACACAAATGCTTCTGTTCCTGCCAGAACAAGAATGTGAACCTCCCCTGCAAGACCTGAGCCGAAACATTGAGGTGCAGCAATCCACCACCACCATCATGGGTTAATAATCAGGACATCAGGCAGTTGTAAACATTCATTACATGAATGAGGAGATTCGAATTGTTTGGATCTTTTGTTTTTTTTTGAATTATCAAACTTTATATTCTATTTTTTTCTTTTTAAAAAAGTTATGTTTTATTTGGTGCTGGAGCGATAGCACAGCGGGTAGGGCATTTGCTTTGCACGTGGCTGGCCCAGGTTCAATTTCTCTGCCCTTCTCAGAGAGCCCGGCAAGCTATGGAGAGTATCTTGCCCGCATGGCAGAGCCTGGCAAGCTCCTTGTGGCATATTTGATTTGCCAAAAACAGTAACAAGTCTCACAATGGAGACGTTACTGGTCTCCACTTGAGAAAGTCCATGAACAATGGGAGGACAGTGCTACAGTGCTACCATGCATGTTTTATTTGGGGGCCACACCTGGCAATGCTCAGGGTTTACTTCTATCTCTGTGCTCAGGGATCACTCAGGAAGGCATTGCTGAGGATTGAACCTGGCAAGGACATTACCCACAATACCGTCACTCTGGCCCCAGACTTCTAATTTAAAATTACATTCACGGAACTCAAGATTTCTTTAAATAGGGGCTGGAGTGATAGCAGAGCAGGTAGGGTGTTTCCCTTGCACACAGCCAACCTGGGTTCGATTCCCAGCATCTCATATGGTACCCGAGCACCGCCAGGAATAACTAACTCCTGAGTGCAGAGACAGGAGTAACCCCTGTGCATTGCCGAGTGTGACCCAAAAAGAAAAAAAAAATAGAGTTCCTTAAATAATTCAGGCACCTCTGTTTTTACAGGTATTTAGTTGACCAGTTTTGCTCTCAATGTCACACATTCCCATGTCAAGAGGTTCAAGTTTTGTTGGTGCTTCAGTGAAAATTAGTTTGGGGTGACTATATATATATATATATATATGTGTGTGTGTGTGTGTGTGTGTATGTGTGTGTGTGTGTATGTGTGTGTGTGAGTGTGTGTGTGTGTGTGCATGTATGTGTGTTTATGTACATATATATATTTAACCTTGTATAGTCTCCTTGGGTAACGCAAATATTTGGTGCCTATCACATTGGGATCCCCCATCTTCCAGTATATGGGCGTTACATCCACCAACTGCCCCCAGCGCCATGTAATCCCATCAACGACCAAGACCCAGAGACTATAAAACCCTGTTCCCAGAAGAGAACAGTGCAGAGTCTCCTGCCTCCATGCCTGGCTGTCCTCACCGAGGCCCCTTGGAGGAGGGTGGGTTAAGTTTCCCTCCCCACCCCGAGCAGAGCCCCAGCAGCTGAAGACCTCCAGTTTTTGCCACAGCCATGCTTAAGACCACTCTCCACACGTTTGGACGAGCCTCATGCATGAAGGAACTGGCAGAGGAACCCAGGTGTGCGGGACTCCAGGCCTGCTCGGATTGGGACTGGAGCCTCCTCCACCCAGATCCCCCATCTCCCAGTATGTAGGCATTACACCCACCAACTGCCCCCGGCACCATGTAATCCCATCAACAGCCTAGACCCAGAGACTATAAAACCCTGCCCCCGGAAACGTGCAGCATCATATTATCTAGTTCTTACTCTGGAGAACCTGGCAGGCTACCAAAAGTATCCTGCCCACAAGACAGAGTATGGCAAACTCCTCGTGGCATATTCAATATGCCAAAAACCAGTAACAATGATGGGTCTCATTCCCCTGACCCTGAAAGAGCCTCGAATGTGGCACTTTTTAAAATCTCAGGGCTAGGACGAAGGAGACATTACTGGGGCCTGCTCTAGGCAATCGATGAACAACAGGAGGACGGTGATACACATTGGGATAATGTTCGTATGTTCCTCCTGAACAGTTGGATCAGTGAGAAAGTGAGTGCTCTGGCTCTTAACACTTACCTGTTCATCACATGTGGAAGGTGAGGGACTGGGAAGAATTGTGGAAAGGAGCATCTGCTTAGAATGCTTTGCTCTCCAAGTCAGTCCAGTTGCTACAAATGGTCTTAAAACCCAACCACCTTGGTCCCGTTGTTTGACGATGAATATGGCTGTATCCATGCCACTCCTCATGGCTCCCACTCCTTACCCTCTGCTGAAGCCTCCCCTTTTCAGAGCATTTGGTGGGCTTTTACCCTTTCCCTCCCAGCGAGTGCATTATGCAGCCTCTCCCTGTCTGCGAGTGACTGGATGGCTCTCTGGCGGTCTCTGGCGGTCAAAAGTATAAACTGCTTCTAAAAGGAATAGCCAAATGCTTCAGCTCCATTAAAGTTCAGAACAAACATTTGAAGGAGTGTGCTAAAAAGTTCCTAGTAAAACTAAGTCTGATGCTTACTTCCGACAGCAGCTCAGAAAGACTTTCTTATCATTCATATGTGAAATGGAGTAGTATATTAGAGTGAGTTATCCATATATTATATAAACCTATTCTCCCTCTCAAACTTAACAATTCACTCTTTTTTCTAATGTATCTCACCTGCACGGCAGAGCCTGGCAAGCTACCC